CATGCCCCCGGACCCCCTAGAGGAGGTGAGGATCCCCCTAGAGGATGTTAGGTCCACGGTGTTTACATGCTTATTTATACAATATGTGTGCTTATACTAACATCATAAGACAAAAGTTGGTTCCGTGTTGTGTGAAGTGAGAATGCGCTAGAGCGAGGGGGGCCCCCAAGCCAAAGCTCGCTTAGGGCCCCCAAAAGTCTAGGGCCGGCCCTGGTGGTTTATATCCCCTGTGAAGGCAGTTGATAATAAATGAACAGTAGTTTACAGATTTTAGATGAATTATATTCCGTTGTGGTTCCAGGGTTTCTCAACACTGAGGTACTCTCTACACTCTCTAACTACCTGTCTGTCTGTCTCTCACCTACCTACCTGTCTGTCTCTCACCTACCTACCTGAGAGACTGTCTCTCACCTACCTACCTGTCTGTCTGTCTGTCTCTCACCTACCTACCTGTCTGTCTCTCACCTATCTGTCTGTCTGTCTCTCACCTACCTGTCTGTCCGTCACCGTTGTGGTTCCAGGGTTTCTCAACACTGAGGTATTCTTTAAAATGTCTCACCTGTATTCTAAAAGTTTAACCACAAAACAAACCATTATAAAGATTTAAAATGAGAGCATTTGTTCAAAGACGGGTAAGAATGTTTTATTATACAATACCCCCCCCTCCCCCCCACCCTCACAGCAGGGGGCGCTGTTTACACTGACACTCCTATTGTGAAGGACTCAGACCGGAAGTGCTGTTGTTATTTCCGGAAGCGACTAACAGAGAAGCTAACAGCTAACAGAGATGTCGGAGTAAGAGAAAGAGATGTCTTCTGACTGTGAGAGGGTGAGACTTTACACTTGATATACTCTATATACTCGATATACTTATATTAAACTCTGAAGTTTGCTTCTCCCGCTGCTCAGTAAACGGTTAGCTTAGCTCTGCTACACGTTGTAATGAAGCTAACTGAGCTAACTGAGCTAACTGTTATCTGTGAATAAAACACACAGATCTTAAGCTTTTTAAAAATGAACAGAGGTGTAAAGTAACTAAGTACATTTACTACAGTCTTTAAGTACAATGTTGAGGTACTTGTACTAGCTTTAGTATATTACTACCTTGTACTTCTACTGCATGGTGTACTTCTACTACAGTTCAGAGGTACATGGTGTACTTCTACTGCACTACAGTTCAGAGGTACATGGTGTACTAATACTCACTACAGTTCAGAGGTACATGGTGTACTAATACTCACTACAGTTCAGAGGTACATGGTGTACTTCTACTGCACTACAGTTCAGAGGTACATGGTGTACTTCTACTCACTACAGTTCAGAGGTACATGGTGTACTTCTACTCACTACAGTTCAGAGGTACATGGTGTACTTCTACTCTCTACAGTTCAGAGGTACATGGTGTACTTCTACTCTCTGCAGTTCAGAGGTACATGGTGTACTTCTACTCCTCTACAGTTCAGAGGTACATGGTGTACTTCTACTCCTCTACAGTTCAGAGGTACATGGTGTACTTCTACTCTCTACAGTTCAGAGGTACATGGTGTACTTCTACTCCTCTACAGTTCAGAGGTATATGGTGTACTTCTACTCCACTACAGTTCAGAGGTACATGGTGTACTTCTACTCACTACAGTTCAGAGGTACATGGTGTACTTCTACTCNGCCTCCTTTAGCTTAGCGGTGGTGACGTGAAGTCATGTGACCGTACTGTAGTTCCTTTATAGCTCAACATTAGCCGCCTTTAGCTTAGCGGTGGTGACGTGAAGTCATGTGACCGTGCTTTTTTATAGCCTCACTTTAGTTTTTTATTTCAACATTTTTTAAATGATGTTAATATGTGGAGATTATGCTATGAACAAAACGTGTAAATATGATAAACGTTTGTTTGCAACAGATTATTTTCTGCAAAAATCCAATGGAGAAATCCCATTGTTTTTTTTGTAGAAGGAGCCCTTGCGATGCTAACTTCCAGGTCAGCCTACAAAAATACATCATCACAACACTACTCTAAGTAGTATCTGGAGGAGTGAAGGGGAAAATGCCACGAAGAAGCAAAAATGATGTGGCAGAGGAAAATATTTATGATGATGTGAAGCTGCAGTTAAGAGAGTCTCTGGGTGAGATAACAGGAGGCAGATCTGAGGTTTCCCTGACAGACAAGGTGACTCAGTGTGTGTAAACAAGAACGCCTCCATCTCCCCCCTGAACCACCGGGGTTAACACCTCTGTCCGTCATTCTGGGCCTTCTTCATTGCGGTGTGGGGAGATGGGAACACACACTCAAAGAGCATAGATTGCCGCCGCTGGAACGAGATGGGGAGGAAGAGGTGTATGAGATCCCTTCACCCTAAAAAATAAAAAATCAGATAAGGTCAACAATATTTTTCGTCTGCGCGGGCAAGAAATCCCTTCAAGCACGGCTGAGTTTTTGGGTGATACAGCAAAAGATAGGGCTGCAGGATTTGGAGAAATAACTAAATATCAACCAATACATGTGCAAACACTATATTCAAAAACTTGCTTGAAGAACAGAAAATCCTCTGAGAAAGCACTCACTGTATGGAAAAATGGCCTCTGTATGCAATATATTATATATTTTACATTATTAGATGGCTAATAATATTGCATCAAATTAGGGTGTAATTGTGCTTCCTACAGTGCAAAACTCACCTCAGTATTGATATGTCATCTCGGTGTATATTTCTCCCTCTTTTTTGAGCGAGAGCCTGTTTTTGTGTTTGTTTGACCCTCACCATTCTGCCTCCCTTCATGTTGAGGCTTCAATGAGAGGCAGTAATAACCAGCGAGTCCCTGGTAACCCGTCAGCTGAGCCTCCAGAGAGGACATCACGACAGCCACCATGATGCTGCAGATTACAGCCAGCATGACTATACAGATTACAGGCACCATGACGCTGCAGATTACAGCCACCATGACTAGATTGCAGCCACCATGATGTTGCAGATTATAGCCACCATGACACATGACTGCAGATTACAGACACCATGACGTTGCAGATTACAGCCACCACGACTCTGCAGATTACAGCCACCATGAATCTGCTAATTAGAGCCATCATGACGTTGCACATTACAGACACCATGACGCTGCAGATTACAGCCACCATGACTACATATTACAGCCACCATGATGCTGCAGATTAAAGCCACCATGGTGTTGCAGATTATAGCCACCAAGACAAATGACTCTGCAGATTACAGACACCATGACGTTGTAGATTACAGCCACCATGACTCTACAGATTACAGACACCATGACCCATGAATCTGAAGATTACAGCCACCATGAATCTGCAAATGAGAGCCACCATGACGATGCACATTACAGCCACCATGATGCTGCAGATTACAGCCACCATGACTCTGCAGATTACAGCCACCATGACGCTGCAGATTATAGCCGCCATGAACCATGACTCTGCAGATTACAGCCACCATGACTCTACAGATTACAGCCACCATGACTCTGCAGATTACAGCCATCATGACTGCAGATTACAGCCACCATGACTCTGCAGATTACAGGCACTATGACCCATGAATCTGCAGATTACAGCCACCATGACTCTGCAGATTACAGCCACCATAACTCTGAAGATTACAGGAATAAATAAAGAACAAGTTATTGAATCTAAAAATGTATTATTGTTATTTTTTTATTATTATTTAAATGCTTTTACTTTTTTTACATTAAATGTTTTATTAATGTATTATTTAATGTATTAATTCATTTTGTTTATGTCACTTTTACCGATTGGGTTTTCAGTTGTTTACTTTTGGATTATTTTATTGTATTTTTTCCTCATCATTTTTCCCTTTGAGGACTAAAATACGTATCATGTGTACATACTGTATGTGAGCTAATTTTTTTATTTCAATCTTATTTTCTGTTTGTCTCATGTTGTGTGCATCCTTTGCATGAAAAGTATTATTGAAATAAACCTTTGTTGAAATAATGATTTTTTTAATGCAGCTCTACCTGAGTGAGCAGCTTCCTCCCGCAGTGTGGTGAGCACACAGCGCCCTCTGGTGGAGAAACACTCAAACAAACACTTGTTATTTTTCAGTTTTAATCTGATATTAAAACACATTACAAAGTCAGGATGCAAATAACCGAATTTGTTAAATTAAATAATAAGAAATGATAGAACCGGACTGTGTTGATGCGAGCCTGAACCATCAATTAATCTATGTTCAAACAGAGAGGCCCATGACTTTAGTCTGCAAACCAATAAATATGATAACACTACTTTTACAAGTGTAAAATAAATGCATACCTAGTTTGACATTAATTTATATATTGACTTAAAGCCCAGTAGCTCACACTGTCTATCATACTGAGATGGGTGAAGGAAATGCATGGAGTGTGAGGATGATACAAAAAAACACAGAGAATAAATGCATGAGCGTTTCCAGTGAGAGGAGTTTTCATTAAACTATGCACATTAAAAAAACAATCCTAAAGAAATGTTCAGAGAGCAGGCAAACTGTCTTCCTGTCGTCACAGACAGACAAAACAACACACCACGATACAAACAATGCAATTCTTCCCACGGTGCCTCAGCGACACCAACACTGTCCCTGGTGATGAGTCTGATCCACAGTGAGAGGTGTGCAGTGTGGAGTGTCTACAGCTGCAGGGCTCCTCTGTCCTCACGTGGCTTAAAGGAGGATTCCACATCATTACAACTCAGGTGGTTTTGGAGTTTTAGCAACAATTTCTATATGTTTTAAAAGACATTGTACTGATAAAGGTCCCTGATGAGATAAGGGCAACACACACGAGCAGGGAGACAGATTACTTTAGTGTTTTGCACTATAGATTTTGTATTGTAAATGTGGATGTGAAGCACCATCATGACCAAAATAAAGGTTAGACATCAGGCTAATTATACTGTATATCTCTTTAAAATGTTAACGGTTGGTAGTAACAGCAATATGAGCACAGAACTGTACAAATGAGACGTGAATTTGTCTGCGTAACTTAGTTTGTAAATGTATGTTTTGTTTTACGATGTCCCGTCTTACTTGAATTCATCCAGACTTTCATACGTTTGGAGATTTTTTTGTTCACTGTCGAAGCATGTAAGAAACTATTCTCCAAGAGTTCAGGGAGAGTTGTTGATATACAAATGGTCATTTTGGTGATGATTAAGTATTCATTTTAGCTCTAAATCTGTACCCAAGGTTATAATCCCTTAAAATAGAATGTTAACATGTTCTTGCCGAATCAGACATCAGTCTCCTCACAGCTATGGAGCAAATGGACCTGATGGGGAAACCAGGTTTAAGGAAATTCTAATCCAGCCCTTTTAATAAAACTGCAAGTGAACACACAACATGTTGGGAATCATCGTACAGGAAAACTGTGGGCACACAAACACACGTTTTTTGTGAGATATCTGGATTTTTGTTCTGCCCCATCTCAGTATGTAACCTGATGAGTACAATGTCGTTATAACAGCTAGAAATCAGAGCCAAAACTACTAATACTTCAAGTTGTAATAAACCGCAATTGTACTTAAAATACAAAACTGACATAAGCAACAGAATATTTGTTGTTGTGAAGCCTCTTTGTTTCAATACAAATGTTAAGGGAGCATGTACACACACACACACACACACACCAACACACACACACACACCAAGAAAAGGAAAAATGGCTGACTACTAGTCTATTTACCAGCTCATAGAGTCCTGTCGTGAACCCGGAAATGTGGAGTACCCCAACGTTTTTATGTAAGAAATATAAAGTACGGGTCCCCAGCTAACTTTCACAAGTTGGGCAATATGCTAAATTAGCATAAGTTGCATTAATAAGCATTAATGAGCATATACATACAATAGTTATTGAGGATGTTGAATTCATTTCTGCCATTTTCAGAGCAGTTTTAACCAGAAAGTGGCCTTACCTGTACTCCCGAGGACTGATTTTGATGAATTTGATTCCATTTGAATGTTTTAGGGCACTCAAAACTGCATTCTAACATTAAAATGTGGGGTACTCAACATTTCCGGGTTCACATTGCTGGCAGATAGACTGTTCCCCAAGAGCTTGGTCTTAGGCCAAGGCAAAGAGTGGATTCGGAGATTCAGCATTTACAGTCTGACAGTCCGCGGGATAAAATAAGAGAGTCTCATTTATCCTTGTGTTCTTCCTGAGTGTTGTCCTCTATGACTACGATCTGGACGCCCGACAGCTGTCCGCTTGCGTCCAGCTGCAGCCCCTCCACCCCCCCAGTCTGCACCTCCTGCATTTGGCACTGCGTCTCCTCCATGCCGGTCTGTATCATCATGGCGTCCTGACCCGAGTCCCCGCTCAGCTGCAGCTCCATCACGCCCACCGCCTGCTCCATGGGCGCCGGGTTGATCTCGATGACCGTGTGGTCCTGCCCCACCTCGCCCTGAAGAATCACAATAAAACTTTATTTATATAGTACTTCCATACACAAAAGGTAACTGCAAGTGCTTCACTAACCAAACACACAGACAATTTACAAAAACAAACATTACTATCTCCCCAGTTCCCAGGTAACCAGAGTAACACAAAGCTTTGTGATTAAAAGAACACTTGTAACCAACGCGTATATATATATGTTTATTACACGGCTTAGTTGAATGCTTGATTCTGATTGGTCAATTTGGAAATCTCTATGGTTGTTAATACTCGATAACACAGACTGCTGCTAAGCCAAATAATGACCGGTGCTAAGGAGAATCAAGGTGGAAAGGGAAAGAGGTTGGACTGCAGATAAATTACCAGAAGAAGACAGACAGGAAGTAAACACTAACAGGAACACGGTATGGGCTCTGCAGTGCTAGGCCTTGTTAGTGGAAAACACTCACAGAAAATATCGATCAGAGTTACGTTGGTGCTGCGCCGTGGAGTGAAGTCTTTTCTATCTATCTAGCAAAAGATAGATATCTATTTAACAAGCTAGCTAGCAAATGTTACCTATCCAACTACCTATTGCCAATTATTACATGGCTTAGCTGAATACTCTATTCTGATTGGTCAATTCAGAACACGTGACACGTAATCCAGAGCAGACAGACCGCTGTCAAGCACTTATTGACCGTTGTTAAGGACGCTCACATCTGCACAAAGAAGTCCGTTACACGAGTGGTTCCTAAATGATTAGATTCAAGGCTTTTATTCTCATGTGTGCATACTGTAGCTACAGAGCAGTTATGTGGATGAAAATCTGAGGTCACAGGCTCCTCCAACAGTGCAACACAATAAAACAGATAATAGTGCAAGTAAATAAAATGAAATAGAATATAATAGAAATAGTGCAGAATAGTCTATACACTGCTTACTGCACATATTTCTTGTTTCATATTTTATCATTCATTCATGGCATTCTATTTCCATGTAAATTACTGCTTTATTTTATTGCTATTTAACTATTTTATTATGGTGTCCTTAAAGATTTCTTGTTTTATATGTTATGTCTGCACCATGACATCAAGTCAAATTCCTGGTATGTGTGAACCCGCCTGGCAATAAACCTGTTTCTGATTCTGATACAAGTAACTGGAATATTCATATATAACTTGCAAACAGATTAATGTTGTCAGGGTATACGCAGGAATCCTGAAGTCAGATGTAATCCCTTTAAAGACCCTTTTAGACCCTTTCCATACATTTTAAGACCTCATCTCCACTTGGAGTTCTAACTGGTTACCTTGGCGACACACTTCACCTCACATTTACTATATACAGTATTGATTGTCCTTGCTCCTTATCTTCCAACCATTTGGACACAAACTTGCATTTCCCCATAACGATGTTGTTTAACAACCGGCGTAAACGGACCTTCGCGCTATCAAGCAGTGAGCGTGCTATGTCCTGTTCAGATGACGTCAAATCCAACAGGATGCCATAAATAAACTACACAGAATCACACTACACACCTACGCAATGATTATATTCAGGCAGACTGTAGAATACAACCTCTTTGGACCATTTATAGACTTATTGAAAACAAGCTACAACTTTTAACACCTTGGAAAATGCCCTTTAATACTTTTTAATAGCCTTCCTTTTCGCTAAATTGATTTATCAACTTGTAATACTTTTTAAGACCCCGCGGTCCCCCTGGTTATGGATGTTCTTTAAAAAGTTCAGGTGTTTAACAGTCTCTATCCATCTAAAAAAAAGAACAAGATGTAGTCACCTCCTGATGCACCAGCATGGCTCCGTCCACCATCTGTCCCTCGAGGGCCATCCCCTCTCCGCCCCCTTGCTGGGTGAGCTGCAGCAGCTCCACGGGGCTCACCATGGTGCCCAGCTGCCCCGAGTCCTGCAGCGCGGTGCCCAGCAGCGTGAGGCCGGAGGACGGGTGCAGCGTGATGGTGTCCGTCTTCCCGTCCCCGGCCAGCATGTAGCGGGTGAAGAGCTGCGAGCCGGCGGGCAGCAGCGTGACGGTGTTGGAGGAGGAGAGGCCGGCCATGGTGAAGGGCTGCCCCATGGAGGTGAGGGAGATGGGGGAGAGCACGGTGAACTGCTGGGGCTGCAGGGTCTGCTGCTGGGTGATGGGGGAGGAAAGGAGGGTGGCGCTGGTTGAGGCGGGTCTTTGCAGGCGGGGGCGTTTGGGCGGACGCTTGGGGGGGGTTTTTGTTTTGGCCGCGGGCTGAGGGCAGGAGAGCAGAGCCCGGACCTGCTGCTGCTTCCTCTGGTCCTCCAGCTGCACCTCCAGGTCTACACACAGCACAACGTCAGCACATTTATTAACTATCAGACTGCTCATGTTTCTAATATTAACATTTGTTATCAGTACTTATCTGAGATGTATCTGAATGTCAAGTCAAATCTCAAAACTCACATAAAATTAAATTAAATTGTAATTTAAAGTGGCAACAGACAAAGTGGTATTATTTGGAAAGACAATTGATTTTTTTCTAATTTTTTCTGCTTCTATAAACAAGAAACAATCGTAAGATCACAAATCATTTTTCTCCATTACTAAAAAGCAGATTTTGCACGTGCCAATAGTGAAATTCGGAAATTGTTATGTCTAATCTCATACACACACATTAAACTCAAATGAAATGTCATCTCTGTTTGTTTTCATATTTAATATCAAGAGTGACATTATGTGCGGACGAGTGGATTTTCTCAGAGCTTCCAAACAAACACACAAACAAACACACAAACACACACACACACACGTTTCCAAACCAACTGCACAACAGAGACAATGATAACATATGTTCGTCTGTTGATTTTTATATAAACAGGGTGATTAATCTGCTTGTTTATATATATATATATATATATATATGTCGTTAGCAACATGGCTAATATATTGCTAGCAGCCTTGATACTATTCAAAGCAATTAATTTGTCTTACTAAATTAATTTAAGTCATTCTTTTATATACCTTAACAATATTTGGAGACACAAAGTCGTGTTTTAGAACTTGTAAATAGAGTACATGATATCTAATGTGATCGGATGTAAAGAGGTGTGTGTGTGTGTGTGTGTGTGTGTGTGTGTGTGTGTGTGTGTGTGTGTGTGTGTGTGTGTGTGTGTGTGTGTGTGTGTGTGTGTGTGTGTG